GCGGGAGGGAGAAATGTCGGGTGTGCTGAAGGCTACGGGTGAAAGGAGAGAAAAAGAGCTCATTTTAAGTGAGTGGGCCCTATCCCAGAGAGGCGTACGCCTCACAAGGAGTTGCGCAATTGCGCCTCTGAGGCGCGCCTCAGACCCAGTGAGGCGTACGCCTCTTAAAGGCCCAGAATTGCGTAGGTTATGAGGCGTTTTTGGGAGGAATTGCGCAAAGGCGCGCCTCTAATTGCGCAATTTTAAACAGAGGCTAAAGCTTTTGGAAACAACTCAGCCACCTTTCTACTACTCTGTGTAGGTTACCTCTCCCAGCAGACAAGTTTATTTCCAAAACCTTATTTTCAGATGAAGGTTGATTTTCCAAGGCTCTAGCCTCAGCAGGTATAGGACCTTGGAAAATAACCTCCATGTCCTCAAAACCTTGCCCAAACTTGATCATGTCCCTAGGAGCAAAGCGAGACTGATTAAAAGACAAATGCAAGTGATCACCAAATTTTAAAACTAGCCTTCCTTCCATTTCCAACTCACTGGATCCTTAGAAAACAGAATGTCAAAAGTTTTCCTAAAATTCAAAATTTCTACTGAATTTCTTTGAATCAAATCAACACAACATCAACTAATCAATGCACTTTTTCTGGGTTTTCTTACCACTGACTTGAATTACTGATCACCCACAATTGTGACCCGAATTTAACGAATGATGAATGAATTTGATAACCACAACAATTATGATGTGGGGGAGATTTTGAGATTGAATATTCATTTGCCTAAATAGTGGCTAAGCAAATGAGATGAAAGAACTCAATGTTTGATCTCAAGTTCAAGAGTTTACAACCTTATACATGGGAAGATTGGTGGTAGCTATTAAGGCAAGTTAAAAGTCATGCAATGATATATTTAGAACCTTGAGGAGTTTCCAATCAACATGCATGAGAAGGGTAATTGTTTGTTGATTTTGTCTCAACATACAAAAGGAGGATGACTTAGAATTTATTTCTTAGGTTTAACAACCATGCAATGATATTGGTTGGAGCGTTTGGAGGCTCCAAATTATCATACATGAAAGGATATGTGTTGGTTTCTTGTGTTCCAACAAATAACATGTTGAAGAACTTAAAATTTGGTTCTAAGCTTCAACAATCCATGGAATGACATTGCTTGGAACCTTATGAGGTTTCAAAATGTCACGCACATGAAGGAAGGATAGTCTTAACTTGTTGATTTTGTACCAACAAGCAAGATAACATGAGCTTAGGATTTTCATCCTAAAGCTGTAAGGGTTATGCAATGAAGCATTTGGAACTTTGAGGAAATTCCAAACACTATGCAAAAGGAGGTAGTCGTTTGTTTGATTTTGTCTAAACAAACATGAGAGAATACACCTAGGGGTTTGATCCTAAGGTTATAAGATTCATGCAATCTAATACTTGGAGCTTTGGGAGTGCTCTAGGTATCATGCACAAAGAAGATATAGAGCCGAACGCTTGTTGATTTTGGATCTCAACAAACAAGGTCAAATAAACCTAGGATTTTTTATCTTAGGATTACATGATTCATGGGATGATTTTATTTGTAACATTTGAAGGTTTAAAATCATCATACATGCAAGAAGACAAATGTTTATTTGCTAGTTTTGTACTCTAACAAATAAAATGAAGAAACGTTAGAATTTGATTCTAAGTTTGAGGGACTCATGCAGTGATACATTTGAAGGCATGAGGAACCTCAAATCATCGTGCATGAGAGGAAACATATTCATTTGTTGATTTTGTGGCTCAACAAATGAAAGATGTAGCTTAGGATTTGGCCCTAAACTCTAAGTGATTCATGCAATGATATGTTTGGAGACTTGAAAGGTCCCAAATAATCATGCATGTAAGAGGTGATTACTTGTTGATTTTTTTTGTCTCAACAAGAGAAGTGGATGGCTTAGAGTTTGGTTCCAAGCTCCAACGATTCACGTATAAGACATTTAAAACCTTAAAGGGGCTTCAAATATTATACATGAGAGGAATGTTTGTTGATTTGGTGCTCCAACAAACAAGGCAGAAGAGTTCGAAACTTGGCTTCAAACCCAAATGATTCATACAATGATATGCTTGGAGTCTTGGGAAATTCCAAGTAATCACGCATGAAGGAGATGTATATGTGAAGTGAGTTTCCCCATCCCCCTATGAATATATTGTATCCACCTAAAGAATGGAACCATACACCTATGGCTTTGGAAAGGACTCCTAAATCAATTTTCTCATGATTTGGAGACTTGAGATCTTCTAGGGATGTCCTAAAGATCAATTTTCTCAAAGGTTTGAACTTTAAACCTTTGAGGGTAATGTGAAGGATTTCATAATGACGTAGAGATTGCTTTGGGCCACTCAAATTCATTTTCGTACATATGTCATAATTTACAAAGAGTTATGAGTTCTAATGTATTCATGCTTCTAATGTGTTAGAGGCACAATATCGAGTTTCTGAATTTAGAGATTTGCACAATTAAGAACAATCAACTACCCAATCTTGCGAGATATCACACATGGACCTAACCACAATGCTCTTCATGTTGATTAAGTTCATGATCAAACATTCGCAAGAACTCAAAGAAATTCTCAAACTTCCAACATACACATATTCACATAACCATAAATCATTTTTGCAATCTATGAATAAATGAAATGTGCAAAGAATTTGAACAAGTTGCAAGCTTTAAAGGAATTCCTTATATATGTTCTCTCCAATTTAAGATATCACATAAACAAACTTGTACATTTTCAACACAAGGTAAGGTGTAGTCATGGGCGTTGGAAATCCATTAACTACACTAAATTAGTTTATCCAACATTTGAAATTGAACAAGTGTGTTTACATAATTTTGCAAATCTTAGATGGAACATAAACTTAACAAATGCCATTTAACGCACTAGATCAGTTTTGTCACAATATTAGCTTTAAGGGAAAAGAACATGACCTACAATGCAATGAAACCTATACTTCATCATACATTTTGGGATAGGAATATATCATCAAAACCTATGGTTCATTGTAGGCGAAGGCTAATCCATGCCATATGAATGCAAAATCATGCATTTGAGAGGTGTTTCACACCAACCCAACACCTCCACACGCATCAAAATCCTCTCCGGACTCTCACATAAGAGCCAACAAATGGAAATCACCAAATTTCCATTGTTTTGCGAAGAGGACATCCAACGAGGGATTTTGGGAGAGCAAAAATTGAAGTTTTCTAAGGACCTAGGGCTTTGGGGCGTCAACCACACATCAACGGCTAGGGAGCCTTAGGGCTTTTCTTATGTTTTAGTGTTTTACCTCTCCCGGGTATCCTAGCTCTCCTATCCAAGCTCCAAGCGCTGTCCAAGCTCCTTTGAACGCTCCAAACTGCTGTACGAGCTTTTCCGGATGTTGCTGCCACTGTCCAAGATGCTCCATGTGCGTCCTTTGTTGTCCAAGGTACTCCCAAGCTCCCAAAGCACCGTTTGGAAGCTCCCAACAGCTTCCTTGTTGTCTCGAGGTCTCCGGAATCGAAGGAGGAAGTAGAAGAAGCCTTCCGCTTTCTCTGATCGTAGCAAATGAGTCTTCGGGTCGGACGGGGCCTCTAACCTAGAGACCAAAGGCTTCGGCCAGTTGAGCGACTAAGGGAGGCGGAATCACCAGGAGGTTCGGCGGTCAAAAGGGGCGGACTCGGGTTGGGTTTCCGCGACCAAGGAAGGCGGATTCGAGCTGGGTTTCCACGACTAAAGCAGGCGGAGTCGGGCAGGGTTTCTGCACGCGAGCGCAGGGTCGGATGGAGACCTGTGCGGACGAGAGTTCCGCTTGGAGCTCCCTCTTCTCTTGCTCTCTCTTGCTCTTTTGCTCTCTGATCCGGAATAAGGCTCCCCTCTTCGTCTCCCACTCTTTATACACGTGAAAATCGCAGTCGAGTAGATTTTCTGCTATAGCTGCGGAAATCAGACGACTTGACGGAAAACAGAGCGGGATTCTAGAGTATATCCAAGCTATTCTATTCAAATCTTGACTTGGGATATGAATTGATCCAAGACTTGATAAACTGGGCTAAAATTTGGCCCGAATTAGACCCAATTTGAATCAATTATGATCGATTCGAGTCCGATCGAGTTAATTTCATGAAATTAAACTTAAATTGGTGCCGAATTGCGACGAATTGGGCTTGACGACGCTCGACGGAATTCAATTTTGATTTGTTTTTATTTTAATTTAATTAAATCGAATTTAATTTAATCAAATTAAGGTTTAATTTGGGTAAATTTCGCCTCGACGACGATCGATTGGGTTGATCATGCACGGTCGAGTATGTTTGTCAACAAGTACCAAGCGGAATAGCCCTTGCATTTATAATTCTTTATTGGGTAGATGTGGTATGAATCAGGATATCAGTGGAGATTTTTTTGAATTATTTTCTGGATATTCTTTTAGTTGCTCTGGGTATTTAGATCCATTCGTATAGAATTGTTATCTTTCTATAGTATTGTAATAGTACTTGCCATGATTATTGTTTCAATTCTCTAACTTCCCATGTCTTGCAATGATGTCTTCTTATTTCTTATAGGTGTTTTGTTTGTATCTGCTACAAATTATTATTAATATTATTATTTTTTTAATCATCTAACAATTGTAGCTATCTGGAAAACTGTAATCATTTTGGATTCTAGCTCCAAGTACTGTAATTCATATTGGACTCATTTCCCTGTTATATCAAGGATAAACATTGTGTGGTTGTTAGTCCATGTTAGGGTTGCCATGTATTAATAACAATCAATTTTCAGGCAACATGGAATAACTGCTAAGATAAGCTTTATGTTATTTATGAAAATACATGATATAGCCCACTAATCTCACTTTGTTAACTATTTTATTGTTTATTTGTACTTTGTTTTCTTGGGAGAACGTTCTATTTTGTAGCACTTGTTTCCTATTTGTTTAGTGCCTAGTTTCCTTTTCTTCTTATCATTTTTTTTTTGCAGGTGATTGATGCTTATGTTTTGGTTGGAGATATTACTGGTCTTGCTGAGAAAATACAGAGTTTTTTTATGCAAGAGGTTCTTTCAGAAACTTACTCTCTTTTGAAGGATATCGTGATTGAGGTAACTTTTAAAAAGTTACTAGGTGTGGTTATAAAATTCCTAGAAATATTTAAATGTATTGTTGTATATGTTTATATTAATAAACTGAGAAGTATAGTTGTATTTGACTTTCATGTGAAAAGAGGATAGTTCACCTCTAATGTCCTAATGCAAATGAGTGCCATCAGGATTGCCATAATTCTCCTAATTTCCTCTCTTCTTTTGAGACATAAACCCGTTCACCTCTAATGCCCAATGAATGTTTATAAGTGGAGTACATTTAGAAGCCTAAACATAAAATTCTTTGTAATCATATTCTTGAAGAATTGTATAACTCCATGGGAATTAAAATATATAAAACCTAATAAACAAAGGCTACCATAAGAGGTATTAACAAAGTGAATTATGTTAATGCATGACAAATTAGGGTTAGGTTTTCATAATGCAACTAGAATGTGTGATGTATAAAATAAGGGTAACTTAAGGATTCATATATCACAAATCACCAAATAAGCCAATGATTCACTTTCTTGCATGATAAATATGAGAATTAAAACCCCAATAATAATATAATGATCGCATAAATTTAGAGAAATTAGCTAGAAATTTAAGCTACATAAAATCAATTAGCAATTGTAATTAATCACCTCAAATTAAAATTTAGTTGCACTAAATTTGAATGGAATTAGGGGCACTTGTAACACCCCACAGTACCCCTTAACAGTAAGATAGAGTGTAACAAGAATAAACATACATTTCCATCACTAAATATCTCATTATGATTTAATTACATTAAGACTTCATATAAAAGATCATATAAACTTCTATCTAATACTATAAAGGAAGCATGTACCAATTTTCCAAGTTTCATCCAAAACCCAGTACAGAGCCACTAAGGAAAACCAAATAATTTCAAAGTAATACATGTCTAATTTGCTTTCATACCTTGCAAATTAAACTTACTAACAAAAGGTAACCTAACATGAAAAGAAGAAACACTTGCATAAATTAGCTTGCGTCAATTACATTAATTTAGTATTCAACATTCTTTCATAATTCATATCATATCAGTCTTCACTGTCATTTATGACATATCTTGTGTAAAGCTAATATACATAAGTTTTTCAAGAAAGATCACCTTAGAAAACTTGCCAATGACCTCACAAAACATTGACTTGGAATTATATCATAACAAAGATATAAACATCATGTCATATTTAAAGGTATGAAGAAAACATTCTAAATCAAAACAAATGAAAATAACATATAAGTTTATTTAAACATTAATCTTTGCTTTACTTACCTTCGTGATGAATTTCCTCTCCTAATTCTACACCATGTAATCTTCTCCTTTGATAAACTATCTCAAAACTTTCTTTCTGCATAAATCTGATTAATCCTACAATTACGATTGATATACACTTCTTGAAAACTTTCTTTAAAAATAATTTAAAGAAACTAATTTACATATCTTGATTTCTTCCTTCGATTCTTACTTCACATATATTCTCCAGATCTTATGCTCACAATAAACTATAATTATAATTCCATCAATTCATCATTCTCAATCTTTGATAAAATTTCTAAATTGAATTTACCAAAACACTTCAAATACCTTTACTGATATCTCTGAATTTTCTTCATTGTTAATTGCTACAGTTTTTCACTAAATTGTTCTTCTATCGCAGTCTCCAGCCACCCCAAATTCTGAAGAAATTCACTGTGCCGAACCAAGGAATAGTAATTCCTGCATCAGGCCGAGATCTTCTCAGTTAATCCAATGAATTTATCTACAAGAATTCACTGTTAAACTCAGCACTTTGTCCGCAATATGTTGTAGTCTTTCATTGCCTCTTGCTACAGAACTTCTCCCCTTCTGCTATAGGACTTCTCCGCCTCTTTCTACAGAATTTCTCTGCATTGCTTTAACAAAAACAGCAGCATTCCCATGAAACGATTACAGTATAAGGATAGAAGAGTGGGTCCCACTCTTCAACCGACTTCCAAAAGTCTCCTCCCCAAGGCATCTATTCGGCTGTTAATTTAAACTTAGTTAATTATATTAATTCTACTATATAACGAATCCTTTTATTTTAAATAAATAATTATTTCACAGAACTTTTCACAAAAAATATAAGCACATACCAAAGTTTGGTCTTTGGATATTACAGCACTAACAACCCAATAACTAATTATGTTGATGAATTTAGATTAAGGAAATAACTTATCAAAATAAGAAATAAATACCTCACACTAGTGCAAGGAGATAACTTGTCCTGGAATTAGGTAGCTGTATTTGCACCACATTTACAAAACTGACACTGGCAAATTGCACACATAGGGTTGAAAACTATAAGAAAAATTTTATTCAATCAAAATTGTGAAATCACATGCCTCAATGCACCTTTTTATATATTCATAATCTGTAGGCTAGTAAATATGATAGGTATAGGATTAGCTCAATTCAAGTTTAAATTTAATCCCAAAAGATAGCAATTAATTCAGTTTTAGTTTTAAATCCAATATGCCCCTGTCCTTATAGTTGAAACACCATCATAGCCAGCACTTTAAGTTTAAATATTATCTGAGGATAGTTCATGCGATGATAGCATGCTATATTACAAGCAAAAATACTGCAATCTTTGCTTGCACAAATCTTTTTTGTTAGAACAAAATCAAACTTCATTATCAGTTAATGAAAGGAATACAAAACGAAACAATTGCTTTACATATTTGATGAAAATAACTAAATAAATTACACCGTCAAGACCAATAGTTGGCAAATTAATAAGCTATTAGAAGAACACGTCTAAATTGAAGCCTTGATATATTTTGAAAAGTGAAGATATATTTTCTTGCGTTTCTACCCCTTCTACCATATATAATTTGAAATTATTTATCTACTAGCTCTTCTATTCTAGAAATGTTAAATTAAAGGCAATATGTAAAGTCTAGAATACCGATGTCCCTAGCAACATAATGATCATTAGGAATAAACATCCTATGTGGGGCTGAATCATTAATTTTATGAGTAGGTGCAGGGTTATTTTCAATTATTGTGATAGAAATCTGGTTAGGCTTTGATTCCTAGATAGTATCTAAAGTTAATTTGAATTTTGGCATGCAAGATCAGAAGTAGTTAGAACTACTATTATTGCATTAGAAGGAAGGTTTTGATTAAATAATTTTCCCTGTTTGATGAGGAAATCGTTCAGAGATTCAGACACGTGTACCGGCAACAAAATCATAGATCGGCTGTTACGATTCAGCGTCTTTACTTCTGATGCATTTTTATGTTTTATTTAGTTTTTCAGTTTTTCGTGTTTACCCCTATGGGGAGTGTTTTATTGTTGTAGCCCGGAGAGCAATTGTGTATTTTTTTTTCTTCATGTTCGAGACCTATATATAGCGGTCTTATGCTTTGTAAAAGCTTAATGAATGATTAAATGATATTTTGATTTTGTCTTCTTCTTGTGTGTGCACTAGAGAGTGAAGAGAGAGCCTGAGGTATGGGCGAGTGCAATACCCACCAGTCATTGGAAGAGTCTGTGACTCGTGGCCTATCTTCTTCTTCTTCCCCTTGCTATTTCTCCCCCACCTGCCGTCCACCCGTCTCCCTCCAATCTGCCGCCGTACCCTTTAACCCCACCCATCAGCATCTCCCCACCATCCCCTAACCGTCGGCTTCTAGCCCACCCCCATTCCTAACCACCAGCCAAGCCCTCTCAAACACCGGCCATACATTTTCCCTAAGCCCCACCGCCGGCCACACCATCCCTTTCCCATCTAATGATGAATTCAATCATCATTATTTCCTACCTAAATTAGCCTAAGTAATTTGAGAGATATATTAACTCAAATTGAAATTCAAATTTTGAATTTCAAATAGTTTCCTAAATTAACAAAGATATATTAGAAAATTTTTTATTCGAAGTCCAATTTAATTTTAAATTGGATTTGATGGAATTTTTCTTCTCCTAAATTAGAGAGATCAATTAGAAAGTTCTTAATTTTATTATTCCCAAACCCTCTCCCTCTCTAGTCAAGCCGCTGGCCCCATGAATGGCCTCCCCTTTGATTTTCCCTATTAAACCCTCCATCATAATTTGAACTTGAAATTAATTTCCAAATTCAATTCCCTCCAAACCTACCTAAATTTGAAATTAATTTCAGATTTATTAACACCCCTCACCCAAACCCTAAACTTAACCTTGCCCCACATGTCTCCCCTCTCTCTCTTTGGCTGCCCCTCCCACTTGCCTCCTTCCCCTTGGAAGTCGTTGCCTCTCATATCTTTGGAAGTCAAAAGAAGAAGACAAGCTACTTCCTCCTTCTTTCCCTTGTTAGTAGCATCATCTACTAGTTCAGTTCCAATTATTTTTCTTTCACCTATTTCTACCCAACACAAGGGTATTCTGCACTTTCTCCCATAAAGAGCCTCATACGGTGCCATTCCAATACTAGATTGGAAACTGTTATTATATGCAAATTCAATCAATGGTATGTGCATCTCCCAATTTCTCTTTAATCCTGACCACCAAAACAATCCTCTCAATTCCTTATACATCTTTGTACTGCCTAGGTGAATTTCATAAGTTGAGAGATGAGCTTCCAGCAATATCTCTTCTCTTAAATTTTCAATAGTTGGAATACAAATCCTGCCTTTATACTTCAGTAATCCTTCTCCATCAATTACAAAGTTCTATAACTATCATGCTTGCACTTTCCTTATGATCTCTTGAATTTTTTCATCTTGGATAATGAATTTTAGCACTCTATCCTTCAAGTTAGATTTAATCACTAGTTGATTTATGATTTTGTATTTTTCTGGTTGACCACTGAAAGCTCTAGTCTTTCTATGTCTTTGACTATCTGTTCCTACTGGGTGATTAACCAATTTACATTCCAAGAGCTTTTCCGCTAAAGTGCATCTACAACCACATTTGCCTTTCCAGGATGATACTGTATGTCCAAGTCATAATCTTTAATGAGCTCTAACCATCTTCTCTGCCTCAAATTAA